TCCCTCCCTCCTTCCATCTCCTTCCTCCCTTCTTCCCTCCCTCCTTCCATCTCCTTCCTCCCTTCTTCCCTCCTTCTCCCTTCTTCCTCCCATCTCCTTCCTTCCTTCCTTTCTCCCTCTCTCCTTCCCTCCCTTCCTCCCTCCTTCCTTCCATCTCCTTCCCTCCCTTCTTCCCTCCTTCTCCCTTCTTCCTCCCATCTTCCTTCCATTTCTCCCTCCTTCTCATCCCATCTCATTCCTTCCTCCCTCCTCTCCCTTCTTCCTCCCATCCATTTCTCCCTCCCTCCTTCTCATCCCATCTCCTTCCTTCTTTCTCTTTCTCCTTCCTTCTTCCCCCTTCCTCCCTTCTTTCCCATTCTTCTCAACTTCCTTCCTTCCTTTCCCTTCCTTCCTCTTCCTACCTGTTTCCTTCCTTCCTCCTCCCACTTTTTTCCTTCCTTTCCTTCTCCTTTCTTCCTTCCTTTTCACCCTCCTCCAGCTCTTCCCTTCCATCCAGCCTTCCCTCCCTCCCTATTTCCTCTTCCAGTTGCAACGTTTAGACAGATTTTGCACGCCAGTTCTACTTTGCATGCCAGTTCTGCTCTTCTGCCCTCCTCTCTGACCGCGCCCTCTCTTGCAGTTCTATGTCATAGAATACGCGGCTTGCGATGCCATTTACAACGAAATCGTTACCTTGGAGCGATTGCGGCCCGTCAACCCCAGCCAAGTGGCCGCCAAGGGCAGCTTCTTCAAGTTCACCATCGCCGTCCCGGAAGATCTCAAGGAAGCGTGAGTGTCCTCGACCGGCGGGGTCCTCCTGGCGGAGAATTGCCCAAATCTGGCCCTTTTGAAACACTTTGTAGCCCTCCATTCAAAACTTGGGGCTCTGCTGGGACTTACAAAATGACCCCTCTCCCCCCCACAAGTTCTCGACTCTTTCTCGGGAAGGAAGTGGAGGAAGAGGAGGGTGGACACCCCGATCTTTGGCTGGTGGCTGTAGTCTTCTTCCCAGGTTGGCTCCTTGGGCTTTGGAACAGGGGTGGCCAATCTTTAAGACTTCAACTCCCAGAATCCCCCAGCCAGCGGGGGGCGGGGCTTCAACACCACTCAGCATGGATAGGACCGTTCTGATGTAGGCTTCCGAGACCGTAATTACGCCCACGCTTCTTTTAAAAGGAAGTCTTCTTTGTTGATTTTATTTTATTTGTTTGATTTGTCCATCGCTTACAAGATGATAGGTGTAAGTATAAACACGAGTAAGAATACAGGAAATGGGTATGAATCAATGGGGACAATAGGACAGTAGGCACGATGGTGCACTTATGCACGCCCCTTACAGACCTCTTAGGAAAGGGGTGAGGTCAACAGTGGATAGTTTAGGGTTAAAAGAGTGGGGGTTTGAGGATGTAACAACAGAGTCAGGTAGTGCGTTCCAGGCATTGACCACCCTGTTGGTGAAGTCATACTTTCTGCAATCAAGTTTGGAGCGGTTTAAATTGAGTTTGAATCTGTTGTGTTGTTCTTGTGTTGTTGTGGTTGAAGCTGAAGGAGTCATTGACTGGTAGGACATTGTAGCAGATAATTTTGTGTGCTGTGCTTAAGTCCAACCGTAGGCGGCGTAGTTCAAGGTTGTCCAAGCCCAAAATGTCAAGCCTGGTGGTGTAGGATATATTCAGTTGTGAGCAGAGGAGTGGGTTGCTTTTCTTGTGAAATACTTCTGGACTTGCTTGATTGTATTAATGTCTGATAATGCAGTGCAGATTCCTTTTATTTTTATTTATTTTTATTTATTACTTTTTTTTTACTTTTTTATTTAAATGTATGTATGTATGTATATAACTTTTTATTTCTTTTATTGCAACACTGGGAAATATTTTCATTCCCAGCCGGGAACGAATCCTAAAACAGTCCCTCGAGATAAGCACCCACCTTTCTTCCCTGTGAAGTGCTGCCAATAATAGTGATAGTAGTGCAGACTTAGCCAATAGTTGGACAGCGTGGAGGGAATTATGTGTTTAGCAGAGGGATGGCGTCCGGGGGGAACAAACTCCCCTCGTGTCTAGTTGTGCTCTATCGAGGGTGGAAGTTGAACCAGTTTGTGTCCGGGATGTGAGGGGTCTGTAGATGTTTTCCCAGCCTTCTTTTGGACTCAGGGTACAGGAGGCCGGCCCTCCGTGGAAGGCAGGCTGGTAGTAGTTGTTTTTACTCTCCCCTTGGCTTCCTCCCAGGAGACCGGGGACCTGCTGATGGTGCTGACGTACGTGGTCTCCCTGGCTTGCCACAGCCTCATTCTGGCACAGGTGATTTACTACTGGAACGCCACGGATCGTCTCAAGAAAGAGTAACCCGGTTGCTGCTACTGCTGCTCCTGCTGCTGCTGCCACTGCCGCCCCCTTGCCAGGGGGCCTGAGGCCCAGAGAACCACCTCAACGATGACGGATTTTTACTCACCGTAGCCCCCCTCTCTCTCAATCTCTCTCCGTCCTCCCTGCGCTCTCGGAAGTGGCTGAGCCACCCAGGGGCCAAGCGAGGCTGCCGCCAGACTGCTGCGTTCTTTTTATTGGGGGTGTAAGGGGGCCTGTGTGGATGGGGAGGCGGGGAGGGGTCTTTCCTCGCTTAACCTACTCCCTCCCCCCCCTTTTTTGGGGGGCGGGGGCGGGCTGGAAACAAAGAGAGAAGCTGCAACAGGAGCTGCGCGTATTTTTTTCCTCCCTCTCTCCTCCACTTTGCAAAACAAAAAAACACAAAAAAATACAATGCTGCCCTTCCACCACACACACACACACACACATACACACACAACACTCCCTCCTCCCAATGCCCTTGGGGGTGGGGGGGTGATTAGGGCCAAGAAGCTGCCCCTTCCCCATTTCCAGGGGAGTCAGGAGGAAGAAAAATTTGACTTCATAGCTCTGGCAGGCCTGGCAAAGGCTAGGAAGCCACCAGAAAAAAAAAGTGTGTGTGTGCGTGTGTTTGTGGGTGTGATGACTTCTCCCCCCCCCCCAGCAAATGGGGGTGCAGGGGAAGGAAAAGTTGAGACTAAGAGCAGCCCCCTCCCCTTTTCTCCTAACCTTTTTCCTAGCTGTCAATCGCTTACAAGATAATAGCCATAAGTACGAACACAGTTATGAATACATGAAATGGGTACATATAAGAAAAACGTAAAAGAAACAAGAGGACAGGGACGGTATAAGTATAAACATAGTTATGAATACATGAAATACATTTAAGAAATATATATAAGATACATGGAGGATACATATAAGAAAAATAAATAGAAGAAACAATAGGACAGGGACGGTATAAGTATAAACATGGTTATGAATACATGAAATGCATTCAAATATATATATATAAGATACATATAGGATACATATAAGGAAAATAAATAAAAGAAACAATAGGACATGGACGCTATAAGTATAAACATAGTTATGAATACATGAAATGGATACATATAAGAAAAATAAAATATAAGAGAAACCATAGGTCAGGGACGGTGGGCACATTGGTACGCTTATGCAGGCCCCCTACAGACCTCTTAGGAAAGGGGTGAGGTCAACAGTAGACAGTCCAAGGTTAAAGTTTTTGGGGTTTGGGGAAGAAACCCCAGAGTCAGGTAGAGGATTCCAGACATTGACTGCTCTGTTGTTGCTGAAGTCGTATTTCCTGCCATCAAGTTTGGTGCGGTTAACCTTGAGTTTGTATCTATTGTGTGCTCTTGGGTTGTTATGGTTGAAGCTGAAGTATTCATTGACAGGTAAGTCATTGCAATGTATGATTTTATATACTGTACTTAGATCAGACTGAAGGCGGCGTAATTCAAGGTTTTCTAGGTCTAGAATTTAAAGTCTGGTGGCATAAGGTCGTCTGCAATGAGTAGAGGAGCGGAGAACTCTTCTTGTGAAACATTTCTGGACTTTCTCAACTGTGTTAATATCAGATACGTAATGTGGGTTCCAGACTGATGAGCTGTATTCGAGTATAGGTCTAGCAAATGTTTTGTATGCTCTAGTTAGTAGTGTGATATTACCGGAGAAAAATCTATGTAGGATTAGGTTAACAACTCTTAATGCCTTTTGGGCTCTGTAGTTGCAGTGGGCTCTAGCACTTAGATCATTTGAGATGAGTCCTCCAAGGTCCTTGACGGAGTTTGGATCCTCAACAAGGTCTTGACTATTCAGCCTGTATTTTATTTTCTGATTGTTTTTTTTTTCAGTGCCCACACCATCACCACCCCACAGGCCACTGTCTGGAATTCCTGCACCCACCCACCCCATTTCTTTTAGGTCCCCATTTGGGTGGGGTGGGGGGGTGGCAGGAGAGAGGCAGCATTACACCCCTCTTCAAATTAGGGCGCACGGTTTTCCTTTCTTCCATCCTGATTGGGCTTTTTTTAAAAAAAAATGGGGGGGGGCGTGGGTTGGAATCATCCCGAAATGGCGGCTGGCAGTCGGGAATCGCGCCCTCCCTCTCCGGGGCTAGAGGTAGGCCAGGGGGGGCAGCCGGGGGCTGGGGTCGGAGGCCCCTCAGCCTCGCAAGTCCATCCAAAGCCAGCGTGCCTGGGGAGCTCCCCACCGAGAGGCTGCTAGGAGGCCGGCTTCCTTGGCATCGTGGCAACGGCCGGAGGGTTCGGGCGCGCCCGTGAGAGCAGGCCGATGGCAAAGAGAAAAAGGAGGGAAGGGAGTATTTTGGAGAGATTGCAGAGGAAGAGAGTAAAAGTTACCCGCTTTTGGGGGGGGAAGGGCTGGGGGGTTGGACTAGATGACCTCCAAGGTCCCTTCCAACTCTGATGATCTCTGTTAAAGGTTTCACAGCCTGAATTTGGCAAGGCAAGAGCAGGACTGGACTGCCATCAAGTCAGAAATGGGGTAGGGTCTCCCTCGGTTTGGGGGTGGGGGCGGGGTTGGACTGGATGACCTTCAGGGTCCCTTCCGACTCTGTTACTATTCTGTTAGTCAGAAATTGTGGGAGCTTCATCCCTGGAAGCTTTTCAAGAAGAGATTGGACTGTCATCTGTCAGAAATGGTGTAGGGTCTCCCGCTTGGGAGGAGATGGGGGTTGGACTAGATGACCTCCAAAGTCCCAACTCAAGATAATCTATCTGAGTGGGGCCCTGGCTGCCCTGGGGAAGGGGGGGGGGCTCTTGCAGTGCTAGGAGGGGGGGGCCTTGGGGAGTTTCCCCTCCCCAGCCCTACACCTGGGGGCGGGGGAGGGAATCATGGGGTGGGGCGGAGCCACAGTCCTCCCGTAGCTGCTGCCAAGAGGGTCCCCTTGAGGCTCTGCAGCCCACCCCTACAATCCTTCCTGCCCAGGGAGGCCCCAAAAGGGGGCAGACTTTGCACCCAGCCCGGTGCTTCTCCTGGCACAGCCAAATTGCTCCTGGCCCAGGTTTGACCCGGAATTGGGCGGGGGGGGGGCTGTACCCAGGGAGAACTGGCACCTCGCGGGCGCTAGAGAAGCAGGGAGGGAGGGGCAGGCGGGGGAGGACCGTCCCCTTGACCTCTAGGGTGGCCCGTGGGCGGGCTCCTTGGGCGCACCTGGGCCAGGTGAAGTATCCCGACGTCCCCCCCTCCTGCCAGGTGCAATTGGCCGGTAGGGGCAGGCTACCCCCCCCAAGGTGTCCTAGGAACCTCACCTCATCTGCGGGGCGCAGCGGCCCCGGTCATGTAGCCGGTCCCCAGAGCCAGCCCGGGGCTCCCGCGGAAGACGCTTCGGGAGGAGGGGGATTGGGCTCGGGCTGGGACCCCTTCGGGGCCGCCTCTGGGCTGTAAAACCCCGCGCACGGTCTTCCGCCCGTCCCGGAAGGGGCGTGACTAGACAGCCTCGAGAAGTCTCGTCGCCGGAGCAGCAGCAAGCAAGGGAAGCACGTGCGGCCGCCGATCGGGCCTTGGGATATAGGGCGGCAGGCCCCACCGCTCCATGCCCCGCCCCCTTGCCTGCCCCAGATTTAAAAGAGTTGGAAGGTACCCTGGAGGTCATCTAGTCCAACCCCCTTCGCCCAAGGAGGAGACCCTACACCATTTCTGACACAGCAATCCAGTCTCTTCTTTGGAAATCCTGCTTCTGCCTTGCCAAATTCTCAGATCACCCCCCCCCCCCCCCACACACACACCCAACCCTGCCTTACCCCGCCCAAGCCGACCCCTCCAGGCTGCTCCGTCTTGGGGGTGAGGGAGGGAAAGCGCTGGGTTTCTGAGTGTAAGCAGAGTGCTGAGCGCGTGAGAAGGGCCGGCCGGGGCTCCGCTTGAGACTCCTTGAGACAGTCGCTTGTCTGAAACCAGACCCTTTTTAAGTTCTCCTGCTTGAGCAAGGGGCTGGACTAGACGACCTCCAAGGTTCCCCCTTTCCAGCTCATTCCCTCCGCCCCCCTGCCGGCGCCTCTCCCGACACACCGACGGCAGGTATTTCAAGCAAGCGCCTCCCCCGCCCCCCCCCGCCCCACCTCCACCTCCACCTCCCCACCTCTCTGCCCTGGGATCGTGCAAGGATGATGGATGATGTAGTAAAAAAACATCCGGGAAAAGGAGCCTTGAGAACGGCAGCACCTGAGGTGGACTGGGGCATAGGGAGTTAGGGTGTCCCCTCTCCCCCGTTTGAAAGGGCCCCTTGTCTGGCTGGAGTAGGGTGTAGGGTCTCCCGCTTGGGCAGGGGTGGGTTGGACTAGATGACCTCCAAAGTCCCTTCCGACTCCGATTATCTGTTATTCTGTTATTTTATTATTCTATTATTCAATTCCCTTGAGACTTTCAAGAAGAGACTGAACTACCCTCTCTCAGAAATGGTGTAGGGTCTCCCGCTTGGGTGGGGGTAGGGGGTTGGAGTAGATGACCTCCAAAGTCCCTTCCAACTCTGATTATCTGTTATCTGATATTATATTATTCCGTTATTTTATTATTCTACTCACTTGAGACTTTCAAGAAGAGACTGGACTGCCATTTGTCAGAAATGGTGTAGGATCTCCCGCTTGGGTGGGCAGGGGGTTGGGCTAGATGACCTCAAACGTCCTTTCCGACTCTGATTATGTTATTGTAATTTTATTACTCTATTATTCTATTCCCTTGAGACTTTCAAGAAGACACTGGGCTGCCCCTCTGTCAAAAATAGTGTAGGGTCTCCCACTTGGGTGGGCAGGGGGTCGGGCTAGATGACCTCCAAGGCTCCCTTCCGACTCTGACTATCTGATATTCTGTTACTTTACTACTCTATTATTCTATTCCCTTGAGACTTTCAAGAAGAGACCGGACTGCCATTTGTCAGAAATGGTGTAGGAACTGGATGACCTCTAAGGTTCCCTTACCATTCTTTGATTATCAGCCCCACAAGCAGCAGAGGAGTGGTGGAGCCCCACCCCACGCTGTCCCCGGGCACCCCCACCCCAAATTAGATCCGCGGGGGTGGTTCTGTTCTTTTCCTTGGCTTTAAGTGGGCAGCTTTAGGGTGGGGGGGGCTTGGTTCACCCCTGGCCCGCCTGCTGAAGGAAGGTTACCAACGTTGCCCGCTTTGGCACAATCTGGGGGTGCAGCATGGCCACCCCGTTTTTCCGTGGGGGGGGAGGAGGAGGAAAGAAGGTATACAGGGAGTGGATCAACTTTTCCTTCTGGCCAGCAGGTGGCAGCTGGGAGGTGGGGAGAGAGGGGGTTGGACTAGATGACCTGCAAGACCCCTCTTTCTCTCTTCCCCCCCCACCCTCTAAATGCAAAGGGCCTTATTAGCTTTCAGCCTGTGTGAGGTTTGTACTACCTGGACCTGTTGGATTGCTGCCTGATCAACACTCGGCTCTCCTTGTATCCCTGCACACACCCCTTCCAAAAAAAAAGTCTTGTGCAATATGCACCTTCCAAAACACACACACACACTCACACACAGAGCAAGCAGCCGCATTTGCAATGAAGTCCAAACTGGGCCCGCAAAACGATACCTAATAAAAAAATGATTAAAAAAAACACCTCAAAACGTTTTTTTTTCCAGCCAGAAGCTCTGTAAACCCAGTTTAAAAACACAACCACAAACCAGGATGATGGCGGTTTCCAGAACGGCCCTTTGGCTTGGGGGCCCAAAACTCCAAAACAACTGGAGAAGTTGGCTTCAAAGGCTCTGCAGGGCCGGGAATGGAGGGACTTTGGGAAGAGCGGGTTTCGAATGTGATCAGAGCTGGACGGCGGGCGAGCATGCGCAGAGTGCCTTTTGCAGGGCTAGGAATTTGAAACTGGCTTGGTGGGGTGGGATTTCCAGCCAGGCAACAGGTTCTAATCTCACGCCAGTGTAGGAAGAAGCTGCAATGGAAGGTCCCAGGCTGTTTTTTTTTTTTTTGCAAAGCTTTCTTCCCAGATGAGGGGTGGGATCCCTTGAGGCCATGCAGTCCCTCCCCTCCAAAAGACCCCATTTTGTCACTCTATTACCTGCCAGGGCATCCTTGTTTCCAATTCTGGAGTTTGAAGATGGGTGGACTTCCAACTCCCAGGATAGCTAACCCTAACCCAAGTCCCCCTCCACCAATTCTTCCTCCCAGATGAGGGGGTCCCCTTGAGGCCATGCAGTCCATCCCCAGCTCCAGCAGCTCCTCCAACAGGGCTGTCCAAGCTTGTTTTCACTGTCTCAACTGCTCCCAAGTCTCTTCCTGGTAGTTAAATCCAAGGGATGCTTTTCGCTTGTAAACTTGGGAGCAGGGGGACGGGGGTTTGGACTAGATGACCTCAAAAGGTCCAATCTAGCTCTGGTTCCGTGTGACCTTCTGAGGGATCTCTCAAGGTGATCCTTTTGTCCCTTTGGGTACATCCACCCACCTTCAAAAAGTAAACCAATCCTGATTTTTTTTCCCCTCAAGGTTGTAAATAAGAAAACGCGTCGTTTCTCCCGGCGGGATTCATCCTTTCTCCGGCCAGTTCCCTACTCGGTCGGCAGCCTGGTTTTACCTGGGGAGGCTCAGTGTGTAGGGCTGCTCGAAGGAAAGAGCAGCTGCAAGCAGCATAGGCGACTTGGGAGTAAGGCTGCAAGGTAATGGCTTTTCCCGTAAAGGGATAAACAGCCAGCCTGAGACACCGGGGTTCTTTGCAGGAAGCAAGGAAGTTCTTGCCCTTCAAGCCTCGTGGGAAGCTCGGAAAAATCTTGCTCGGTGTTTGGAGATGTTTCTTGGCAACTTTATCTCGGGTTCTTGGCAGCCTTGCGCCACCTTGGCAACGCGGTAAGATCCCCCCCCTCTCCTTTTGGAACCAGACAAGAAATACCCCCCCCCCCCCAATATAGGGGGGGGGGGGAAGGAAGGGGGAAAAAAAAAACAATTTCTCTCTCCTTTTTTGTTTCAAGTTGCGTTTTTGTTGTGTTTTTTTTTTTTAATTTCTCTTTTTAAATACTGTACAGTGAAAAATAAATAGTCTCAACCGTCACAGATCAAATCCCACCCACCCCCATTTGTTTCCCTCCACCCACCCCACCCACAAACACACAAAACTCCAGGCCAGGCGGGCCTACTCTTCTCTTGCACAGTGTTCTTTTTTTGTTTTGTTTTTTGAGAAAAGGGAAAGGAAACGGGGAGGGGGCTAAAAGGAGCCCCTTTCCTCCCCCCCCACCCCACAAAGAAGAGGGGGGCCGGGCTGCAAGCTGTTTTCCCCCTCCCCGTTTTTATTTTACTCCCCAGCAGGACAGGTCTGCCCCCCACCTCTCTCTCTACTCAGCTTGGAAGGGGGGGGGTGTTGGTTGGGGATTAAGGCCCTGACCCTCTGGGTTCCCCCTCCCCAGGACCGCTACTCCTCCCGGTCCTCGGACTGAGCTACTCCAAGAACGGAAAAAGAAAGAAAGAAGAAAAAAGAAGCACGCAGCTTGTGTGTATGTGTGTGTGTGTGAGTGAGTTTGTGTTATCAGAAGGCACAGTTGCTCCTCCCCCTCTTCCTTCCCCAAATTTTGAATAGCCGCATATATAT